TCTTTCTTTCTTTCTTTCTTTCTTTCTTTCTTTCTTTCTTTCTTTCTTTCTTTCTTTCTTTCTTTCTTTCTTTCTTTCTTTCTTTCTTTCTTTCTTTCCTTTCTTTCTTTCCTTTCTTTCCTTTCTTTCCTTTCTTTCTTTCCTTTCTTTCCTTTCTTTCCTTTCTTTCTTTCTCCTAAATAAAACCTGCCCAGGTATCCTGGAGTTAAAGGAAGACACCATAGAGAGTTTGCTGGCTGCTGCATGCCTTCTGCAGCTCTCCCAGGTCATTGAGGTGTGCTGCAACTTCCTCATGAAGCAGCTCCACCCTTCCAACTGCCTGGGGATCCGCTCGTTCGGGGACGCCCAGGGCTGCTCCGAGCTCCTGAAGGTGGCCCACACGTACACCATGGTAAGGTGAACAGCTGACAGCTCTGCAGCCACAGAAATAGTCCCTTTACCTGCAGAAAGAGTCGCTTCTGGTGCTGCCCATTTCACAGTTTTGCCTTGTAGAAAGGCGTCCTCAGTGAACTTAGATTTGCATACGAGTGGTACCTGCTCCTGCCAAAAAATGTAACAGGGCCTAAGCACGGCTCATGTCCAGAGACAAACAGCAATGGGCCATCCTTCTGCCTTTGGTTCCACACAAAGAAAACTCTAAAGCTGATTTTAAGGTGAGACACGCATAAAGAGAGTCAAAATAAAGAATGTATTGGACAGACTTGGAATGCTAAAAAGAAGCAGGTCCCTGACTGGAAGATAATCCTGCTTTGGCTCAAAGCAAGAAATGAATATTCAGAGCATGGCAAACAGAGAAGCGAGACAACTTGCTATGAAAACAAATTGAGGGATAAATATTCAGGGCAACAAGATGTGCTATCACAGCTTAAACCACACAAAAAGAACGGCAACTGCTAGAGATAAATAGATCTAAAAAGAACTACTGCTTAGGAGAACCATGGCAGCTTTATGCTTGAAATATTAGTGGAGGATGTCAGAACTGGTTTAGAGGCTTCATAATGCTGAGAAGACTCCAGCAAGGGGTTGTGCATGTCCAGCTGCTGAAAGGGGTGAGAGGCATGTGCAGATGGAGGGCACTGCTTGTGCAAAACAAAATGGTTTGTTTAGCAGCAATTACATCCCCTTTACATTTCAAAGTGTGAAATGGGGCATTTAAGCTAGAGGTTTGCTCAGCCTGTGTAAAATAGTGTTGTCCTTGCTGCTCCAAACCTTTTTATACTCATCCAAACTCGGGAAATCCCCCTCTACTGTTGCCTCTTTCCTCCCACCAGCGTGAGAACATGGGCGGCAGCTTCAGGCATTTAAAATTGTGGTTCAGATTTCTGCAAAACTGAAATAAAATCACAAAGTTGGATTTAGGATGACAGTGAGAGGTGTTGAGACAGTAAACAACAAAGAGATTGTGAAAATAATTTTTGTTTATAGATTTTTTTTAACCATTTGAATCCCCCAGTCTTTCCCAGGAGTTAAACTTTTATTATTTTTTGAAACCACGTGTCACAGATTTGAGAGTTGAGTCTTCAAGAATGTCCTGAAATGAAGGATCATGATGACTCTATGACACTCAGCAGCACTGGGCATAAGTTTTATACTATTTTCCTTGAAAACAACTTTTAACACCTCTAGAACCACCTCCAGTTCATGCATGGAACAGACTGAAGACACACCACATTTGCTCCTGACAGCTTAGAAAGAGAAGAGGAAACCTGAACCTCTGAAATAAAATTCTGTTCCAAACCCTTGCAGTAATATCACAAAAAACCTTTGGAGAGCAGGAGATCATAAAAATGCATAAACACATACAAACTGTGGAGTGGGATAAGTAAAACACTCAGGTTTGTTTTGTGTTGGTGAAAATGTGTAACTTAGGGGAAAGAGCAGAAAGCTGTCCTGTAAATACAGAGCCCATTACATTTTCAGTAAACACCAGATCCACTCAGTACAACCAGACACAGAGGGGACCTTCCCCTTCCATATTTTGGCCATTGAGGTAGAATATTAACAATTTCCTGCCTGGTATCTTTTCGTGCAGATAGAGCTTGTTCTGACAAACAACTTGTGCTATATTTGTAACTAGAAGTGGACTGGCCTTCCTGTCCCTGTTCTCTGAATGTCACAAGTATTAAAGCAGGATATGCATAACAGACCAAAGTTGACATCTCCTTTAATCAGTGATGCTTCTGGGTTTACATCCTGGCTACATTTGAAAAGAGTTACACAGAAAGTGAAGAAACTGCTGAAAACAAACAATAAAATTTCAGTTACTATAATTTCTTTAACCTTTGCCCTATTTCAACCTGGTTCCTAAAGGAGATATATTAATTCTAGGTACAGAAATAGAAATTCTATTTCAAATGCAGTCATGAATTCCTACATGCATCTCTTTGCAAGCAACATGACCCCCTCTCTGTCTTCACCAGATTTATTCTTTCCTTTGGAATTTGATTGGGAAAGAGAAAATATATATATATTGATATTATATATATAGATATTGCTGTAATTCAGTTGTACAATTTTTTTTTTTAATGAAAAAATAATTCTGTGAAAGACTCTAGATACATGTGGTCACTTCTGGAGTTGGGGAGTTTTATCACAGCAGCAGCAGCTAAAAGGCTGAGATCCTTTCACTGAGATTTCTCCAGTTTTGTATTGCCCAAATAGTGCTGTTAGAAAAGCAAGCTGAATTTCCTTTGCTGTATTTTCTTGCCCTAAGAGCAGAGTCACAGAGCCAGCAGCTGGCACAAGGCAAAAGGATTGGAAGGTTTCGGTGCAATTGGCTCAAAACCTTTGAATCTGCAACAGAAGGGGCACATTTTATTTTAATGCCCACTTGGCATTTCTAAAATGCACATTATACCTTCAAACAGCATTTCTATCAAGCCCCAGTGCTAAGATCACACTGATTTACAAAATGCCAGTGGCAAATCCCTAAGCCAGCACAGGCTGACAAGAACCCTGACAAAGACATCTCCAGCATGGTGCTGTGAGGATGAGCATTATTCCTCAGTTCTGCAAGAGCAGCAGAAAAGCAACCAAAATCTCCCTCAAATGGCAGAAGGACATTCAGGGGTCTTTAGAATACCCACAGCATTTCCCTGCATTGTGGAACTGGAGAGAAATATTCACAAAGCCAACGTTATCTAAGAAAAAGCTGTTTCTACTTGTGAAAATCACCAGTGCATTGAAATCTTCTTTTATTTTTAGGAGCACTTCATAGAAGTAATAAAAAACCAGGAATTTCTTTTGCTCCCAGCTAATGAAATTGCCAAGCTCTTGTCTAGTGATGACATCAACGTGCCAGATGAAGAGGCAATTTTCCAGGCCCTGATGATGTGGGTGAGGCACGACCTGCAAAACCGGCAGCGGGACCTGGGGATGCTCCTCTCCTACATCAGACTGCCCCTGCTGCCACCCCAGGTAGGAACAGGAAGGGTAACAGGGAACTCTGCCAGCTGAAACGCTTGTCTGGAGCATCCTGTAGGCAGAGAGGAGAGTTTTGTGGAAAGGTTCTGGTTTGGACTGGAAATTATTGGTATTTTTTCACCCTTTTTGTTTTTTTAGATGTTATACTATACTATATCTTCATTGCTTTTAAACACAGTTGAAAAGAAATCCCTCAGTGCCTGTGTAATTATCAGGCTTAGAATTACCTCTAAAAAATGTCAGTCTATTCCAAAAGCCAAGTGTTCCTTTGTTGGGTTGTAACACTTCTCCTCCAGCACAGCAATTTAGATACCATGCAAAGATATTTCTTTAAATTTACCAAACTGCAGGACAGATAAGCCACAATGCTCCTTCCTTTATTGCCATTAAAAGCAGACAAATATAAAATGGCCTAAATTTTTTGCTGACAATTCTGAGCACTGACATTACTTGTCCCTTAATTCTGAAAGAGACAATTCATCCATCAAGTTCCAAGAGCTGGACATCCTGCTTCACAGAAAGGTGACATTGCTGTGTCTGTGTCATAGAGGAGTCTTTCTGTCTCATCAGAAAAGGATAGAGAATATCAAGACTGTCAGTCAGGACACTTTATGAATCTACATGACTGATGCTGTAAATATTCTACCTTGAATAACGTATAAAAGTACTATACACACTTAATTTTAAACACATTTAATATTTTTCTAATGTTAACAGAGATGTTCAGTGCTCTGTGGTAGATTTATTTACTCACCTAAGGAATTTGGTATAGCGGGGGCAGTACAACAAATTACTGATTTAAACCATTTTAAAAGTTAAAAGAAAGAAGTAGGAAAAAATTAATCAAAGCCATCACACTCACAGACTTTTCTCCCCCAACTTTATATAGTTTTGCTTGCATTAAAGCAGAGTTCCCAGCAAAACACAAGTGAGTGGTGAGCTTAAAACGAGTGTTTGTAGCTACAAATACTTTAATTATTCAAGTACATGTAATTTTAATGATTTAGATATATATCAAGATGCTTTTTTTTCCCATTTCTTAGCTACTGGCTGATCTGGAGAACAGCCCAATGTTTGCAGATGACCTTGAGTGTCAGAAACTTCTCATGGAGGCCATGAAGTACCACCTGCTCCCAGAGAGACGCTCCATGATGCAGAGCCCTCGAACCAAGCCCAGAAAATCCACGGTGGGAGCCCTTTATGCTGTGGGAGGCATGGATGCCACTAAAGGTAAGCCCACGAGTTAATTTGATTGGATTAATTAATTGCATCACAGACACCCAGACCTTTATTTAAATATTTCCCCTAGGAAAAGATCAGTTTGGGGATAAAAAAGGAGAAAAAGCAAATCACAGAACGGAATCCGATGTGTCAGAAGTTCTTTCCTCTTGCAGGAATCATACTTGTAAAAAATGCAATTATATTTAGGTGCAGACTAAAGTTTGATTCATATGGTTATTTTTAAAATCAAGCTTATTATGAATCATTGTGAAAAATAGTTGAGTTTACCAATCAGAAGAAGAAGTGAATATTTAAAATGCTTCAAGGTTTGTTTAATATTGAACCTTGTGGTCTATATTCTGGCAAAATAAGAAAGCTAAGATTTCAAAGAAGCAGAAAAATAAAACCAAAAAACATCACTGAACTACAGAGAACTCTTCCCTAATGCTTATAAATCCTTATTATTACATTTCTGGTGGAAAGATTTGTATTTTTCATGAACGCAGCTTTTTTCCAGGTCTTCATACACAGGGTTTTTTCAGGTTTGTAGTCAAAAGTTAATTATTATAAACATATTCCAGTTTCTATTATTTGATTTCCACAGCTGCAATCAGGTTACAGCTTTAAACATTGCACTATTCTATTTAGGAGGCAGAATATTAAATCATTTTCTCCAGGAACCTCAACTTCAAACCCACAGCTTGGAGCCAGAGAACTCTAATTAGTTTAAAGTCTAGCGACTTGCTGCACAGAATTACTTTTAGCTGTGTGAGTTCACTTTTAATAGAATCACAAAGAAGATAATCCATTTCATGGTTTACAAAAAGCTGCTGACGACTGATTTTTCCCCGTATGAGAGACCTTGCAGAGCTCCCTCCCTATCTCTGTGCAATCAAATCAAGAGCAGAATACACATCCGTCGCCAGCACAACATGAAAACACTCATTCCTAGGACAATTTAGCAAATTGGAGTTAATCTGGTGCAATTAAGTAGATTCATTAGCGATACTGAGTATTTATGAATTATACCAGGTAATCTTTAAACTATCTTCCCCTAAATTAAGTATACAATTTCGCAATCATGTTTTTCCTAGTAAAGGTTATGCAAAGAAAGGGCTATTTCAGTCAACATCTGCACTTCCTGTTGGTGCCTCTCACTTCTTACCTTGGAGTGAAGCCAATTGTTTGAACTTTTCTTGCCTTTTGATGGGTAAGAGGAAGAGCACTTCCGCTCCTCCCTGCCATCCTCCCCAGCTCTGACTCAGATTTGGAGCCTGGGCTGGATTGGGAGATAAAGAACCAGGAGAAAGAGGCCAGGATGCACTGGAGGAGCAGCTCTGAGAAGGGAGTGACTCCCACCCCTGGCAATAACACAGCGCCTGTGATAAAGGCAGACACCAGGCTTGGCGTCTCAGGCAACGCCAGGTTTGCCTTTGTGCTTATCTCAGGTGGAGTATGAAGACAAATCTCAAATTCCAATGATCAAAAGAAGATCAAAGAGCTACTTTTGGGGCGGAATTTTGAAAAATGGGAACGTGCCTAAACCACGTTAAGTTTTGAGACTTTCAAATCTTCTAGCCTGTGTAAGAATTACAGCCACAGGGTATGTCTGAACACACTTAAACCTGACTGCATTTTCCCTGCTTTCCAGTCAGTGTGAGAGATTTCCTTTGAAGTGGAAAACTTTGGGGCACTCACGTATTAGCATAGAATAAATGAGAAAGAATCAAAGCAAAGAGCAGCAAACAGAATAACAAGATGGAAAGAGCAGGCAAAGAAACCCAGCTGCTCTGAGTAAAGGGGAGAAAGCAGAATTTCTGTCTTTTATTGCAGATGGAGCTGGTAGTCTCTTTCCCAACCTATGCACAAGGAAAAACACATAGATAAGAGAAAAGATAGCAAGAGATAAACTCCTATTTCACTGAATTTCTGGAGTACATCAGGTGATCTCTAACAGACCTCTAAACCAAATCCTATCTTTCTTTTCTGCTTTATTGCATGGCTGTTTTCCTGTTGCAAAAATAATTTCTTAGTCACAAGCTCTGTGTTGTTATCTTCAAAACACCACTTGTCTGCTCTCAAATCCCAGTCAAAGAACAAGAAATCAGCTCTGTTTTCCTCATCTGGCTGCTTTTGACTGAGCTGAATTGGAGCTCCAGGGTGCACTGGCAATTCTGCCTTGGGTCTTCCTGAGCCGTGCCCTCGCTGTGCTCTGCAGCTCTCAGAGGAGCAATTTTGGCTCCTGAGCGATGATGGGAGCCAGTGCATGGGGAAGTGTCAGTGCTGAATGGCAGAGAGCTCATGCCTTATGAAGAACTCCAGCAGAAACATTATTGGAGGTCCAGCGACCTGAAAAAAATGGGAAATGTGGCTGATGTGTTCCAGCAGCCCAGCAGCTGCACAGGTGAGCTCCGGGAAGGATACCTGTGGGAACCAGATGTGCACTCACACACAGCCCTGTCTTCTGCCTTATTCCATCCCAAAAGGGAAAATACCCACAGGATTCCCAAAGATGCTTGTCCATCTCCTCGGACAGATACACAGAGACTGGTTTTAGTATCACTAATGCTTTAGGCACAAACGTGGTTAAAGAGTAGATTGTTGTGAGGCACTGTATTCATAAGGAGTATAAAGAAACCCCAAAACAAACCCACAACCCCCCTGTTCTCATGGTATTACAGTAGCAGATTTAATGTACATCCAAAATTTGCAGTGCTACAAAAATTGTTGCAATTTAATTCCTCATTTCTTGCCACCAGTATGTTCTCCTAGACTCGCCAATCATGTGTGCAATTAATGCAGCTTTCTCACTAGGCTTGCGTGAGAGCTGAAGTTCACAGCTAAATCTCACACACAGAATTTCTATATTCTATCATTTAATTGTGTTCTGAGCTGGCTGCTGACTGCTCCCTCCATGGCTGTCTCTGTTTCCCCCAGGCACCACCACAATCGAGAAATACGACCTGAGGACCAACAGCTGGATCCAGATCGGGACCATGAACGGCCGGCGGCTGCAGTTTGGGGTTGCGGTGATCGACAACAAGCTCTACATCGTGGGGGGCAGGGATGGGCTCAAAACCTCCAACATCGTGGAGTGCTTCAACCCTGTCACCAAGGCTTGGACCGTGATGCCCCCGATGTCAACACACAGGCACGGCCTGGGTAAGAGGGGCTCTGCCTCTGCAAACGCCTCCCAGCACACACAGACGGGGTTTGGCTGACTCAAAAACTGCTGAGAAAACTTCTAACAGAGTTTAGTAACACCCAGCAATACTTGCACAGGATATTTTTCAAGGAGAGGTTTGCCTATTGCCATAATTTTATGATTTTATTAGTATTCACCTAGCACTGGTCTTCCAGAGTTAATTTTGCTTGTTAGGAAATTCCAAAATATAAGCTATAGTGAAAATAATCAACTCTTCACCTGATTTAATGGTCAAGGCATACATTTACAATACAATAATTTAATTTTTTTACTAAATTATGAATTAAGCCCAGATGTATCAATAACCTCTGTAACTCAGATCAGGGCATTACCTGCACTGAAGAAAAATGTGTGGAAATTAGTACAACTTCACCAGTTCTAACGTTGTTATTACAAGAAGTTTACCAGAGCCCTGCCATGGCTCAGTATCTATGTTTTTTTTACTGCAAAATAATCCTTAATATTATTCACACTGAAGGAATAATATGAATATGAAATCTAGAATTAATTTACAGAACTATACAAAATAAGGCTAAGTTTACAGATGAGTAGACTGTGACAGAGGGAATATGATGATTTCTGAACAATTTACATATCCCAGACCTTATGAAAAAGCTGGCTTTTCTTAAGGTACAGAAACAGGTATTTCTTGAAATCATCACTAAGTTCAAATGGCATGGAATATTTTTACTTTTATGGAAAATAAAGGAAGATTGATCCAGAATTACTTGGCAAACCATTGTCGCCTATGTCACCTTCTCCGCTGCTTGGTAGAGAAAGGGTTGTGTAGGGTTCTTACCAGAGCACAGAATATATGAAACCAAATACTAGTAGGTGGCAAAGGGGAAGAAGACCAAACAGATTAAATAATTTTCATTGAAATCTATAAAATTCCTGATTGCAGGGGCATAATTCTCCCCAGCAAATAAGTCACAGCCATAAATTTGAGTGCACAAAGTTTGGCTTCAGTCTGTGCCTGGTTTGCAAAGCTGCCTCACACTTGCAGCCCCTATTACCTGCAGGGAGATTCTGTGCAGAGTTGGTGCTTTTGAAGAAATCAGGCCATGTATATTTAGGCCTGAAAGACAGATTTAGAAAACTTTTAAGCAGCTGGATTGAAACATTTTGCCTCACCTTACAAAGGGAGCAAAGACCAGCAGCAACTCCCAGAGGGAAGGCACCAAAGCCCTTCTCTGGAGAAGCACAATGGCCCAGGATTTGTCCACTCAGAGCTTTGCAGTGACAGGCAAGCTGGCTCTCCTGTGCCTCAAGGACAGCAGATAGGAGCCAGCTCTTATCCAAAAGGCATTAAAGTGTTGTGGTGCTTTAGCTGGAAAGGACAGCCAGCTACCCACCCACCCAGGCTTTGTGCTGGCAGCTCTACAGAGCTTCAGCTGGGCCAGAATTTGGAGAGGATTTTGGTCTGGGCATATTTTTCTTTGTATGACTCAAGTTTTGCCTTTTTGTAGGAGAATAACATCATTTCCCAGTTAGGGGCTCAAATTCGTTTCAGAGCAAGGTCACCAGAAGTGAAAGAGATAAAAGTCCAAGAAGAGAACATCAGAACTAAAGCAGCTTTCCTCTAATCTTTTGGCAAAAGATAATGGTTATTTAGAAGAACACTGCATGTGAAGTGCTTGTTTATCTTTATTTATTCTTCCAAATGAAAAGGCAGCTTTCAGGCCATTTAATACCAGCTGAAATTGCTTATCTGCACGCAGGGAATTAACGTACGAAATGAATACGCCGCCGGACACTGAAACCAGGAGATAATTTCTCCCTAATTCTGTCTCTCAAGGAGTAGCAATGCTGGAAGGACCAATGTATGCAGTTGGTGGCCACGATGGGTGGAGTTACCTGAACACAGTGGAGCGCTGGGACCCGCAGGCACGGCAGTGGAATTACGTGGCCAGCATGTCCACGCCAAGGAGCACCGTCGGGGTCGCAGCACTCAACAGCAAGTATGGCACCAGGAAAACCTCTCCCTGGGTTTTTATTTGCTCCCTTCCCTGGAAATGCAGCTTCTTAAATTATATTTTCAGGCTTATGGTTATTAATGACCTCAAGTTAAAAAAAGAGAAAATATAATGCATGGAAATAAGAAAAGAAAGCCTTTCCTCTGCTGTGTGGTAAATTGATTTCAAACTTGCAGTCAGGTTTTAAATGCATTTCAGTCCTTTTAAATTATAACAATATGAAAATGTTATTACATGCACATCAAAATTTTACCTAGAATATGGGGATATAAAATCAACTAAAAAAAATATTCCAAGTTCATGTTTACACTTTAAAGTTATTGTGTCTAAATAGACTTAATAGGTATGGAAACAAAGCCTTTCCTTTGTCATTGAAATTCACAGCCAATTTTTAAAATGTTGAAGGTGTATGTTGTGTTTAATGGAAAGAAGACAAGTTTAATAAGTAGGTATGGAATAAACAGCCTCTTATAAATCTTATCCTATCCAGATTTGCTCTGCCCTCCATCTCTTGCTTAAATACACGAAATCAAGTACGAATGTATTCAGCCATTCTGCTAAGATGCTAAAGCCACTCAAACCCTTTTACATGGGAGCAGACAACGGTGTGGATCTTACAAAAGCCTTGTAAAAGGCCTCAGGTTATGGAGAATACGGTTTGAGCCAACATTTCTTGTTTAAACCTGTGGGAAACTCTTAGCAGTTTGTAGGGAACACTCAGTTACAGGCAGGCAACTGCATTTACCTGGAACCTTTGCCATTGGCTTCCCTGATCACCTTGTAAATTCCCAGGGAAGAGAAGGATAAAAAGCAGAAACGAAGATGTCAGCAAAGGGATATTTGTAAATGCAAGCTGGGGTTTGCATTCATACAAGGCAGATTTCAAATCCTAGCTCACAAGTCCACGAGAGGCAGAAGCGCCTCTCCAGGTCCCTGCTGTAGCTCAGAGGAAATGTTCTCAGCAGAAACTCCACCAGGAACTCCTGCTAGTGCCTTCCACAGCAGCAACATGCAGGAAACCGCTTTGTCAAAGAGGAAATCAGCCCGATCCCGACTCTGTTCTCAATCATTGCTGATACAAACTGTCTCCAGCAGGGCTTAAATCACGTCTGTTAGTCTGCTGATGTAATTTCTGGCATACCAGGAGATCAAATGTCCATCACTCAGTGCTACTGCTGCGGTCCAGCCAAGAGAATGCTTCTCCTTTTCCTGTTTCCCTAAATCACACCATATTTTTTCCTGTTCAACCCCACCAGAAAAGTCTTTACATATCTATGGACCAACACTTTCAGACCAATAAATGCCCCATTGGAAACATCAATCAATAATGCTATATTTGGTCTTTTCCTTAGAGAATGGGAAGCACCACCGTGTTTGTAGACATGTTATGGAAAACAAAGGATCCCAACCAATCACTTTGTATATACAGAGATTTCCTTGCCCTGTGAAAGCTGTGTAAACAAGCAGACTGTATCAATGGCATGATGTGAAAAGAAAATAAGGCAAAGCCTCAAGTTTTATATGGCTCAGACCACAAACTGCACAACCAAACTCAATTTTATCAAGTGAACAAACCTTAGGAGAGAGAGAGAGAGAGAGCTGGGGATTTTTTATTATTCTAATGGGTCAAGAATCTACTAGTTAAAATACGCACCAGAGAAGTCTGAAAGCTTTGTAAGTCTCTAGAAATAAAACAGGCACTTCAAAAGGAAAATTCATCAGATCTGGTTTACGTGATTTACTCTGGGCACATCCACGTGTTCCCTAGGTCTGTAATAAGCTACGCTAAATAAATTAAATTCCATGGCAGAAAATAATAGCAAGAGTCTGAAAGGGAGCAGAAAAACCAGCACACCCAACACCTGATGTTTTTTAGCATGGATTATCACAATTTATTCCTACAAGTTGCCCTGACATGAGCTGTTTAAATCTCCAGCTGTTTGCTAAGTGCCTTTGGGCTTGAACAGACAAGATGACACAAGGTGTCCAGCAGATTTTCTTAAATACAGACTCAGAGGAAAATATATTTAATATATGTTTTATATATGTTTTTGTTATCTATTCAAGTTATTAAAGTAAACAGCATGGGAAAGACTTTCAATGTGATGTCAATTATTCTGTAACTCCGTCCCAGGGAATGCTACCATATATTCCAAACATATGCAGCAGCATCTTTCAATTCAACTCTTTCTATTGCTCACATTTAGAGAACCTGACATGAATTTTTAAGCTTAATTTTCGTATGTGTCTGCTTGAACATTTCCACTGTAAGTGAAGAACATAACTTCATACAACACACAAAGCCTTTGGGCAGAGGAAGTCCCCGAGCACAACAAATAACGGGTGTAATGACAACTTTAAAGAGGTCTGAATGAAGTCAGCCAGATAAAATTCTTATCAGTGGGAGAATAAAGTCTGAAATTGTTTGCCTGCTTGTGGGTTGTTCTCCCAGGCTGTACGCAGTCGGTGGGCGAGACGGGAGCTCCTGCCTGAAATCCATGGAGTGCTTTGATCCTCACACAAACAAGTGGAGTTTGTGTGCCTCCATGTCCAAGAGGAGAGGTGGTGTCGGCGTGGCCACCTACAACGGGTTCCTGTACGCCGTGGGAGGCCACGATGCTCCTGCTTCCAACCACTGCTCCCGCCTCTCCGACTGCGTAGAGAGGTAACAAATTATTTTGCTTTTTTTCTCTTTTCTGTTTACATTCCGGGAAGGGATTGTGGAATAAATTCTCTTCACAACTGGAATGCTGTGTTTGTAAAACATACTCCGCCTTTTTAAAAAAATGATACTTGGAGCAGGAATAACTTGCTTCCAATACTTTTGTGATAATAAGAGAATTAAACCCCAGCAACAAATTCCTCCCTTCTGGCTGAGCTAGGGAAGCAACTGAAGTACTGAGACAAATTCAACATGTGACCTTTCTATTTCTCAAGTGCCAGAATTCAGATTTAGGCTGCTTATGCCACGGACTGTAGGAATTAAATACTTTTTCAGTTGTTCTTCCAAGAATTTGACTGACACTGATGAAAGTTGTAAAAATATAAGAAACATCACAAAGGCCTGTCATTTGGGGAAAAGAAAGGAAAACTGCTCAGTTTTTCAGTTTTCAGGTGTCAAACACTGATGTGAAAAACAATGGCCAAATTCAGTTCTCAGTTAGATGGGGTAAAGCAGGATCTACCTGGATTTCACTGCAATTTATATTGGAATAGCTCAGAAGTAAAATCAATATTCATGTAAGATTTTATGCATTTCATGTGAGAAACTTAGAGCTACTTCACAAGTTATTTAACTTCTTTTATAGTAAACTTCTCTGAAAACATTATTTCTGACAATAAACAGAAAACCAAAAGCTTTATGGAAGGAGAAAATAAGAATATATTGAAATTAACTCTGCTGAGTCAACTGGTGGCCATGCTATCATTCCCTCAGGTCCCATTTAGTGTTTAAAATGTATTGATGGATTAATGTAATTGAAATGGAGAGACTGCAATCAAAAAGTTAAAACAGGAGTATTTTCCATGTGCTTGAAGGCCCCTCTAGTGGCCAAACCAAAAACCAAATCACATCTCAGTTCTGCTCATTCTTGGTGTAAAGCGAACAGCAGCATAGGAGAAAACAGGTGGATATCAGCAATTTTATCTGAAACGTGTCTCCACCATGCATTCTTATGGATTTTGATCACCACATTTCCTAGGTATGACCCCAAAACAGACGCCTGGACCACAGTGGCGCCTCTGAGCGTGCCCCGGGACGCGGTGGGGATCTGTCCCCTGGGGGACAGGCTGTATGCAGTGGGGGGCTACGATGGGCACTCCTACCTGGACACCGTGGAGTCCTACGATGCTCAGAACAACGAGTGGACGGAGGTAATGGGGACACAGATGGTGCCTCAGGGGCTCTTCCTGCAGCCAGGAACGATTCTGTCCAAATAGCTGTAAAATTGTCGCCGCTTTGGCGAAAAACGACATGAAAAACGTGGGGATGCAGCAATACTGGAGGTGGGCTTGAATAAAACTTCAGCTTCCTCTCCTGTAAAATAACTACCTGAAACTTTTCAGACTGAGGGGTGGAGGAATTGCATGGGGCCAAGCAAACCAGATTGCACAGATCACTCTGGGTTTGAAGTGCCTAAATTCGCTGTTGGTAGGGCTGGTGTGTTTGTCAGCAACACCCTCTTCTGGGGGCACCTTCAGACTTTCCTATCTATGGCCCTCCCCACTGAGACCAAGAGGAAACACCTGGAGCGCCAAGACCCTCGTGCAGCCACACAGTCCAGGGCTTTGGAGCATTGGCTGTGAAGGCCTTTTGAACATGCCAAGGGAACAGCACCAGGCCACACCCCTGTAACTCAGGGGATGCTGGATTTTGCCAAAAAGCCCAAACTGTGTTTTCATACCTTAGTTAAACCAAATTTTTTTTTAGCGTGACATCAGTTTGAATAAACAAACTGCTTTCCTATTAATCTGACAGTAATTTCTTCTTGTCCTATCCATAGGATGCTACTAAAAATGTTTCCTCCTTTTTCCTTTTCTGCTTTCCTTTTCCTTTCTAGGAAGTTCCTGTCAACATTGGGAGGGCTGGAGCATGTGTTGTTGTTGTGAAGTTGCCCTGAGGACTGTAAATTATCGTGAAACTGAACTGAGTGGAGTCTCAGAGGACAAGAAACATTTCCAGGAGCAGCACAGACTGCACACCCCTCAGCAGCCCTGAACAGACAATATTTATCCCTGAGCCATCACACTAATACAGCACAGAAGTGTCTTCCTGCATCACAAAAACCAGAGAACTTTGCAGAAGTGAATTTCTTTATTATGCCTAATAAGCAAAATCCAGTAAAATGGTTTCAATGTTTGAATGGTTTAGGTTTGTTACAAAAGTGTATCTGTTATTTATAAAACGCAGCAGTGAGAGATGTCTATAAGATTTCAAAAACTTCTTCTTCATTTCTATGTTGTCAGGAATGCTAAAGTTTATAAAAAAAGCTTTTATATTTTAAGCAAATGAAAATAACTATGAAACACCTCCAACAGGGAACTGCACAGAAAGAATTATTTGCTGTCAAATATTACTGTCAACAGAATATTCCCTGGAGAAGCATCTTAATTTCTATATTCAGAAATTAAACTCATAAATTAACTTCAAAATCAAATCAGAGAAGCCAATGATTTATTTGTTATTTATCATCCAGCACTGTTAGAACTGTGACAGAATATCCATTTTGAGCAGTGCATTGGATTGAATAATGCAAGTTAAGTCGTGGTAAGGTTAAGGTACCTTTATGCTATTGTGTGCCAGCAAAAAAGAAATTTCTTTTGTCAAAACATAATGCAAATATAATTTGCAATAATTTTCAGTACATAGATGTGTGATATTATAATGCTGCTCTGTGTTTCAGGTTATTCATGGATTTCTCTTTGCCCACTAACTATCTGTCAGTACGTGTTAAACTAATCTGACTATTCTTGGGATAATAACTGTGCATTAAATTTTAAAACAATCACATAATTACATTCCTTGAATATAACTTACAGAATGAAATTTTTATATCATATTGATATGACAATCTTTGACCTCAGCTGAAGATTACCAGCTTTCTCTCATGTACAGTAGAAATATGGTAAGGAATAAACCACACCCACTGTGTAACATTAGATACCATTTATGTAATCATGTTTATGTTTTATCTGGAATTAGTGGAATGATAAGAATCAAGAACAAACAGGAAAAGGAACGCCTGAAAACAGCACATAGCATTCCACATGCATGATATTTTCCTCTTGTGTGCCAATTTCTACTGTTTTGCTTTAATTTCATTTTTTATAATTTCAAATGCTGAAAGTGTATTCTAGAAAAAAGAATGTATGTAAGATATTCTATGCTGTAAAGCACAATATTTGGTCAGTATCCACCTCAGTGTTTGTTTTGTTGTTTTGTCAGTATCAGAAAATTCAGGACAGAGACAAAAATCTCACAATGAATAGGCCAACTTTCCTGATAAATACTGTGGTTTCAGATTTTAGCAATATGCTATTTTAGAACAAATTTATAGTATTAAACCTACTGAATGCCTCTAAAGAAAAAAATCTCATAAGCATATTTATAAAAAAAGAACATTTTTAACTTTAAAAATCAATTATGTTTATATATAGCATGCTACATTCAAATAAACTTTACTTTCTCTGCTAAGAAAATTTGGACTATATTTTAACAACCTTGTGGTTTTTATTTTACATCCTTTCAAATCTAGAAGATGCAGAAGCATCAATCTCATTTTTAAAATCTAAAATAACAAAAGATGCACAAAAACCTCCCTGCCAAGCAAATGGGGAATGAACCCTAAACCAGCTCGTGGGTTCCAGAAGTCACCTGAGAAGAAGGAAATGTTTTCATTTCCCAGCAGATCAAGAATCTGAAGCGAACACAAGGGGCCAAGAGCAGACAGAGAATCTACCCAGGGATGCCCTGGGGAGTGGGAGGTGGGTGTTGCTCTCCCTGTCCCAGAGGGAAGCTGTCTGACCACCTACCCAGAACATCTGGCAGCAAACACTAACTCCTAAACATTATATAAATTATATTATAGATAATAAGATATATTAATATATAATAATATTTTATTTCAATATTTATCTATATTATATATACATACATATAAATATATAAATTATATATCATTATATAATATATTTTTATATAAATTTTTATAGATTCCTATTTATTTATTTTATATATTTATTTTATATTTATTATCAGTGATAAATTATATTATATATATTATATATAATTATATATAATTATATTATATTTATTTATATAACTTTTATTGTAGATTCCTATTTATTTATTTTATATATTTATTTCATATTTATTATCAGTGATAAATTAGATATATTTTATATATAATTATATATAATTATATTATATCTATTTATACAACTTTTATTACACATTCCTATTTATTTATTTTATATATTTATTTTATATTATCAGTGATAAATTATATTAGATATATATTATCTATCTATCTATCTATATATATACATATATATCTATATATATATCTATATATATATCTTTATTTATCTATATCTATATCTATATCTATATCTATATCGAATATAATATAAAAATTTTAACATTTCCCCCCTATTTTTGTCATCCTGCTTTGGTCCTGGAACAGCCATGTGCAATCTTTCATATGAATAAGGATTTGTGTGGATGCAGGGAGAAGCTCACTGCTGCTTTCCACCCAGGCTCTAGATGATGCTTTTCTCCCAGAGCTGCACACCACTGCTGCCAGGAACCACTACAGCCTCATATGTTTTACTCTTGGTTGGAAAGCATGGGCATTGAATGCCCATTTTTAAAATTCCAGCATAAAATGATACAAACGATGTTCAACTGATGCCAAGAAGCACATCAGGACAGATGGACAGACTGACAGTGCCAATGGGCCTGACCCGCTGAGCCTTGCCAGGAATTTGAATTCTCCTGGAAAAAAGAAGGCAGAAGCCTCAAGTGAGGGAAAGCAGCTTCTGAGCCAATAAAGATATTTATAAATATAAACCCATCACCAAAAAACTGTTCCAGTCTATGGTACCTTAATCCAAACACACGGGATCTTTGAGAGATGACACAGAACTCCCCTGCCTTTGTCCCCTCCTCAGCCTGCAAATTTTATTAAATCAGTAAACAAGACATGAAACACTTAGGGAAAAAACCACTTAGATATAAACAATCCCCTTAAATATCTCTGGAAATACACACTGCCATCTCTGTAATTTAATAAAGGCTCGGAAGGAGTATTGGAAAACTTCCTGTATTTCTTTACAGCTCTCTAAAGAAATTGTGTCATGAACTTTGCTTATGTAAAAAATAAGGCAGAAAAAAATATGCTATGATTTTATCTTGCAGGAAGCTGCTCCATTACCAGGGTAATAAATTCAGGAGCTCTTCCTAGCATGAACCACAGTCTCTGAGGCAGAGCATGTGAATATTTGCATGTGTGTGTTATGAGATGGTCTCATTCCTATGGCAAGGCTGCAGTAGCAAGTGCACTTCTTCAATTAAAAGTTTAAGGCTGCATCTTTTTATGGAAACAACACCAAAATAAATAAAGGTTTGGGGAAAAGGGAAAGGATGGGAAGGGTATGGTGGTTTTAGTAATGAACTTTAAGTGGTTTGTTTTGGTTTTTCCATATTATTTGTACAGCAGTGAAAAACCATGTGAAAGGAAACCAGCACTCCACAAAGGGAAACTGGGATCTAAACAGGAAAGTGGAAACAAAGAAAGCAAGAGAAATTGAAGGTTTGGGTGATAATCTCTACATGAGCTGCAGCAGCAGTGATGCTTTATGTAAATAAAATGTATGGGGAGCAGGGATTCCACTGACCCATGAAATCAGTTCTGGGAAAGGCTGAAGATGCAGCTTAACCACGTCTGTGTCTAGAAGGAGATCTTTAGGCCACGAGCATAAGCCCAGAAAAGCCACTCCCATAACTTTAGCAGTGATACTTGGAAGAAAGCAATATTAGAGCTATTTACAGCTGTCACAATGAAAACGAATTATTTTCCTGATAGAATATAAATTTTAATTTCTTGCATAACACAGCTACACTAAACCAAAATCTCAATTGATCAGTACTGAGTGTCTGCAAATTGTACAAACCAAGGAGTGAACAGCCTACTATCAAATCTTATGGGAACTTGGGATTTATCCAATCCAGGCAGTAACATGGGATGTTTTCCCTGACAGGGTCACACACACTACATTTTCCACGTAGGATATTTCAGTGTGAATTTCCTTACAGTTGCTTGATGTTTGCCCATTAATTTTTCACTCAGGGCAGACACGACATGCTTAGACCCATTTCTTAATAATGAGTCCTCTTCCTCAGCAAAGTGAAAAGAAGTTTTCTCATCCCCCCGTCCTTGCAAAGTCTTGAGCTCTGGGGTTTTGAGCGAGACTTGAGCTCAGCTCATCTCGGTTTGCCATTCAGGCTCTGCTCAAAAGATGGTGCTATGCGACAATTTTTGGAGAATCCTGGCTCTTTCTAAGAAAACACGAGGCTGCCCTGTAGTAATATTTATCCTTGAAATGTAAATCCACTCTTTAATACTCTCAAGAGCCTCCTCCATTTGTTCATGGAACTGCCTCACAGACAAGCTCCCCACACACACAGGCATTGTTGGGCTCTCAGGAAATATTGGAACCAAAGTTATTGAGGTACAGCAAAGCCCCTTTTGTGAATATTCCTAAAGCAGCAGCTGGTATTGCTGCCCTGGTGCCTGTCCTGGGTTTTGGCAAATGAAAATCAAAAGTTGTTTGTGTTTGATTTTGTTGAGCTCAAATCACAGCACCCAGTTCTTTGGCTGCAAAGGCGTGGGATGAAAAGCCAGTGATGTGGGCAGTGGATGAAGAGAAGGCTCTGTTTTGGTCCTTAGGCCACCAACCAGCCAGGCAGCCCACAGCAGCCTCCTCTGGCTTCATACAGACATTTCTAAGCTGCAGTTCCTGATGAGAGGTAAATCTGTTCAGCTCTGCCCTTTTGAAAATGCACAGGACATGTCCATAGGTGTTAAACCATAAAGAAAATATAAAATGGGTTTTCCCCTGTTTCCCTGTTTTCCATACTGGGATAGTCATGAAACAGAGCCAGAGGCGAATTCAGTGTGCTTTACATGAAAGATAAGGAAACTTTACACAGTCCTGCCATTGCTTTTTACAGGGGATAAAACACAGCATCATCCTTCCCCTGCAGCAGGGAACAGCGACTGCTCCCAGATACTGGATGCAACTTTTCCAGGATTCAGGATTCAGGATTCATTTCACCTTACCTCTCTGTAAACACAGGGCTGCAATTCACTTTTATATGTATTTCTCCTCATCACCTCAAATTAATAGACAATTCAATGATACCACTTCCAGGATTCAGAAAGAGGTTCCGAAGCAAAACACTAAAAAAATGCAGCTTATGAATTATTTCTTACAGAAAATAGAGACCAATTTACAATCAGCTTTATACTGTTTATAAGACAGCTCTAAATAAAAAGCAATAATTTAAAAAATGCTGGGGAAAGTGAAGTGTTAGAGCACTTGAAACTGACCCTCTCTGCTGTACTTTAATCAAAGGGGTAACTATTCCTCACTGACATCTGCCAGCTCAAGCTACGTCTGAGCTCAGAGACATTTGACTGTGCTCTGTAGAGAAGTTAA